CTCAAAATAAAACCAAAATTGCCCAAGACAATATGCTGTCATTAGTAGTGAAAATGCGATTTCCAGGTGGCATATCAAATGAAAAGGGGGCGTTCACCGGGAAAGGTGAATTGGAGGTCTGACGTTTCGAGTAGTTGTTTCGTCTACGCACAGGCCCGACTCAACAGTCCGACGGCCAATGATGCGGCCCAAAGACCCGATCTCTAAGCGGATGTGGGCTGCTGCCTACCGACTTCGGTGCAGCTGCGGGTAGTACAACTGCGTTGGGGAAACCGGCCAACGGCTACAAACGCGAATACACAAGCATAAGTTGGCCGTTCGAAGGTTGGACCCAAAGTCGGAGGTAACAACCCATGCCGCGCAAATGGGACACATCTTCAACTTTGAGGCCGTTGAGATTGTGGGGCGTGGATGATGATCATACAACGGGGCAGGTACGAAAAGCCTGGATGTCCACCGACTGCTCTGCCAACCGCCACATCAATTTCCCCCCCCCCTCCCCCATCTGACTTTGCGAACGTTCTTAGCGGGGGACGGTCACAGCGGGAGACAAGCGGGCGGTCGATTATTTCCGCGGTCGACGAGGGCGGGGGAAATTCAGATCACAGTGACATACGGGTCAGATGTAGCCACACAGGCGGCATTGGCGGGCCAGGCATCAAACAAAGTCCGCCATACAAGGAGAGCTGTGCACATGACCTCGCAATCTCTGAGGTTGACTAGACGAAGCATCTACTCGAAACGCCAGAACACAAATACACCTCTCCCGGTGAATGCCTCCATTTCTTTTGATAATATACTGTATTTGTAAAGTCAATTTGGCAAACGCGCGTTTTCGGTAATTCGTCTTCAGGCCAAAACAGTTACAGAGAGGTCGAAAATGTGCGAAGTTCACAGAGATTTTTAGCGTCGGTGGTAATATCCGTCAGGCAGAAAATATCGTCGACGTATCGACCGTAGAAGTCAAGGTTATTAATAACATCTCGCAAATGTCTTCATGGGCAAAGTCGAGATGACAAGGTTACAAGGTACTATTAATGACCTTGACTCCTGCGGTCGATACGTGGACGATATTCTCTGCCTTACTAATACTACCACAGACAGACGTCCTGATCCAAAAGTTTAACAGTGAACACCCCTTGCTAAAGTTCTCTGCAGAGTTTGAGGCAGACAACGAAAATGCGTTCTTCGAAGTTCTCTTGTACAGACAGGAGGGTGGATCTATCTAGCGTAGGGTATTCCGAAAGAAAATCTGGACGGGACAAAACATTAATTTTCATAGGTTTGTGCCCTACATGATAAACGCAATTTGATCTAGGGATTAGCAGGTAGAGCGTGACGTATCTGCTCTCCTGAGACTGTTGAGGCAGAACTCCAGCAGCTGTGGGATATAATCCACGAAAACGGATACCCAGAAAGATTTATCTTCCGAAATATAGGGGAACGCACTGCGCAGACTACCGTGGCAACTGCAGAAATGAAAGACTTATTTAAAGACTACCTTTTCAAGGGGACGCAGCAAGTGACCTGGTAAGAAGACGCCTGAAGACAGCGATCACTAACGCCTTCCTCGCAGCGAACTTACGAACTCTCCCCTCCTACGTTTGGGCGGTAAAGACCGACTCCCGTTGTAGGCCACATCGATGGGTATTTACTCATTCACTGGCTCCTGTGGAGCGGGATACATTGGCCGTACAACGAGGCGCCTGGAAGAGAGAGTACGGGAATACATACCGGCCTGGCTAGGCAGAGGTGACAACAGATCGATTTCGAGTTCCAACTTCGCACATCTTGCCAATACGAATCACCGAGTCGGTATCGAAGAAGCCTTTCAGGTTGTCTACCGGACACCAGCAAGCTTCTTCAGAGGCTTAAGCCAACGGGTGCTAGCTACAGCCGAGACAGTGACTATACTGCTAGCCAAACCAGTGCTATGCTGTCCGAAGACGTTGACACAGCTGCTCAGACTTCCGTGGCCAACGTCGACTGCAGATGATGATTGCACGCCGCCCCAACCTCCTGATGGCAGTGATGTGTGCTAGATGTACACATCGCTCACAGCCTATATTACCCCTCACCCTCGCCCTCTTGACCCAATGACCATGACAAACCGAACTTGTCAAGCGAGTGCGTGGGAACGATGACTGTTAATAACCCCTGAGTCACTTATGAACTCTGTGAACTTCGCATATTTTTGACTTTTATGTTACTGCATTTGTGTTGAACACTGTTGCGGAATGGGAATAAATAAAAATATGTGCTGTCTAAGAATTAGGTTATTTGTCCGGTTCAGACTGACACTACTGCCGGCTTACAAGCTTCAAGAGCATGTCCGGTGGCAGTTAGTTTACCATTAAGCTCCAAGTCTGTGATCCAATGAATTCCGACAGTAGTTATGTGATTCAATAGTAGTGAAAATCCGATTCCCAGGTGGCATAT